CTCCTCCTCCTCCTCCTCCTCCTCCTCCTCCTCCTCCTCTCCTCCTCCTCCTCCTCCTCCTCCTGGGATCCTGGCTGTCGGCGCTGGACCACCCCGACCCCCGCACCCCTGGGCAGCGCCAGAGGCGCTGCCCCTGCCTCCTGCGCGTGGGCAGCGCCAGAGGCGCTGCCCCTGCCTCCTGCGCGTGGGCAGGCGGGCCCAGCGCCGACCCGAGCGCACCGCACGAACCTCCGACCGCCTAGGGGCCTAGGGCCTATGCTGAAGCTCGTGCGTCGCTCCGGCCGTCGCGCTGGCGCCGCGCACATTCGACACGCACTCCTCGGCCGCTTCCTGTTTCATTTCCTCCCTCTCCTCCTCCTCCTCCTCCTCCTCCTCCTCCTCCTCCTCCTCCTCCTCCTCCTCCTCCTCCTCCTCCTCCTCCTTCCTCCTCCTCCTCCTCCTCCTTCCTCCTCCTCCTCCTCCTCCTCCTCCTCCTCCTCCTCACTCCTCCTCCTCCTCCCTCCTCCTCCTCCTCCTCCGCCTCCTCCTCCTCCTCCTCCTCCTCCTCCTCCTCCTCCTCCTCCTCCTCCTCCCTCCTCCTCCTCCTCCTCCTCCTCCTCCTCCTCCTCCTCCTCCTCCTCCTCTCCTCCTCCTCCTCCTCCTCCTCCTCCTCCTCCTCCTCCTCCTCCTCCTCCTCCTCCTCCTCCTCCTCCTCCCTCCTCTCCTCCTCCTCCTCCTCCTCCTCCTCCTCCTCCTTCCTCCTCCTCCTCCTCCTCCTCCTCCTCCTCCTCCTCCTCCTCCTCCTCCTCCTCCTCCTCCTCCTCCTCCTCCTCCTCCTCCCTCCTCCTCCCTCCTCCTCCTCCTCCTCCTCCTCCTCCTCCTCCTCCTCCTCCTCCTCCTCCTCCTCCTCCTCCTCCTCCTCCTCCTCCTCCTCCTCCTCCTACCTCCTCCTCCTCCGCCTCCTCCTCCTCCTCCTCCTCCTCCTCCTCCTCCTCCTCCTCCTCCTCCTCCTCCTCCTCCTCCTCCTCCTCCTCCTCCTCCTCCTCCTCCTCCTCCTCCTCCTCCTCCTCCTCCTCCTCCTCCTCCTCCTCATGCTTCTCCCTCCCTCCGTCTCTGGCTCCTCCCTCCCGGCTGCCTCCTGCCCGTGCTGAAAAGCCTGGAAGACTGCACGTCTGCACCGCTGTCGCGCATGGCCCTCCCGCCCTTCCCTGCCACCTTCGTGCCCGACTCACATCGCAGCAGTCTGGCCGTGGCCACCTCCGACCGCCTAGGGCCTAGGGCCTATGCTGAAGCTCGTGCGTCGCTCCGGCCGTCCGCGGTCCCCCCATCTCCCTCCCGCCCTTCCTTGCCACCTTCGTGCCCGACTCGCACCGCAGCAGTCTGGCCGTGGCCACCACGACCACAGCTCAGATCCAAAGCACCGACCAGGAAACAGAAAAAAACTCGGGCTTATGCTCACACAGCTTTGGTCCGCTGGGATCGGCACCGAGGCCGGAGCTTCGGTGTCCCGGGAGGGAGCCGATACTGCCACCACGAGGTGCGGCCACGCGGCACACGGCTCGGGGAGTTAGACCATCGCCGCGAGAGCAGCGCGCTGCTCCGATCTCGTCCCCATCCGCCAGCTCTCCTAGAGGGGCAAGATGAGGACGACGAGTTCGAGGAGTGTGGGCAGGAGGAGGGGGTAGAACTCAGACAAATTATCACAAACCTGTTTCTCACCCTGATAATTCTTCACATCCTCCCTGACCTCGCCCGCCTCCTCCTCCATCCACCTTTTCCGACTTATCCTGAATCTCCCCCGCATCCTCCTCCTCCTCCTCCTCCTCCTCCTCCTCCTCCTCCTCCTCCTCTTCCTCCTCTCTCCTCCTCCTCCTCCTCCCCTCCTCCTCCTCCTCCGCCTCCTCCTCCTCCTCCTCTCCTCCTCCTCCTCCTCCTTCCCTCCTCCTCCTCCTCCTCCTCCTTCCTCCTCCTCCTCCTCCTCCTCCTCCTCCTCCTCCTCCTCCTCCTCCTCCTCCTCTCTTCTCCTCCTCCTCCTCCTCCTCCTCCTCCTCCTCCTCCTCCTCCTCCTCCTCCTCCTCCTCCTCCTCCTCCTCCGCCTCCTCCTCCTCTCCTCCTCCTGCGCATTCGCCTCCGCATCCGCATCCGTCTCCTCCTCCTCCCCCTCCTGCTCCCCCTCCTTCTCCTCCTCCTCCTCCTTCTCCTCCTCCACCTGCTCCTCCTCCTCCTCCGCCTCCCCCTCCACCTATTTATTATCCTTCACCTCTTCTACCCGTCCTCTTCACTCCCTAGACTACGCCCGATCGGAGGCGCATCCTGATTATCCCCCGGTTCATCCTTCTCCTCCTCCTCCTCCTCCTTCTCCTCCTCCTCCTCATCATCATCATCATCCTCCGCCTCCTCTTCCTCCTCCTCCTGACAAGGCCGTCGGCTGGAGTGAAGCCCTTTTGGGAAGGCCACAGGGCCTTCTGAGAAAGCCAAGTACACACTTCCGCTTAGAACACGAGCGCCGTCGTAACGCCACCATCTTTGGGACCACCGCGGAGTCCTCCCCCGACCATCCCTAATCACATCCCGCGCCCACCCACGGGGCGGACCCTGAAACTCCATATCCCACCATCCCACTATCCCCTGCCCCAGTCCTATTTTCTCACTGATCTACGAGGGACGGGGAGAATGAGGAGGAGGGTGAAGAGGCTAGGCAATGGAGAAGGGCCTTCAGCAGCACGCCTTTACAAGCAGCCATACTATCCGACGAGTGCAAGCAGGCATGAAGTTCAAAATGGGGCGGACATGTGGATGCCAGAATCACTCGCGAAGTGGAGCCTGAGCGCTATGAAGCAGCCCTGAAGTCGCCATCGCCCAGTCGATCGCATCTCTCTCTGTCCCCTTGGGAAAAACAGCCACGGAATCAGGATGGAGGGAGAGGCGGAAGAGCACCGAGGAGAGGCCTCCATAGAGCCCAGAGAGCACAAGAGCACTGTCAAAAACTCTCCGTGCTCGATCCTCCCTGCTGCTCTGGGCACCCGATCCTCGCGAGGGGTGGGCGCGCGGTCCCCCGATCAGCAGGCACTGGCACCTCCTCCTCCTCCTCCTCCTCCTCCTCCTCCTCCTCCTCCTCCTCCTCCTCCTCCTCCTCCTCCTCCTCCTCCTCCTCCTCCTCCTCCTCCTCCTCCTCCTCCTCCTCCTCCTCCTCCTCCTCCTCCTCCTCCTCCTCCTCCTCCTCCTCCTCCTCCCTCCTCCTCCTCCTCCTCCTCCTCCTCCTCCTCCTCCTCCTCCTCCTCCTCCTCCTCCTCCTCCTCCTCCTCCTCCTCCTCCTCCTCCCTCCTCCTCCTCCTCCTCCTCCTCCTCCTCCTCCTCCTCTCCTCCTCCTCCTCTCCTCCTCCTCCTCCTCCTCCTCCTCCTCCTCCTCCTCCTCCTCCTCCTCCTCCTCCTCCTCCTCCTCCTCCTCCCTCCTCCTCCTCCTCCTCCCCCCCCCCCGCCTCCCCGTGGGCAGCGCGGCTGCCTCCCGACTTCACGGAGGGGATTGACCAGGGTGGAACAGGACACAGGGATGAGAATATGGTGCCAACGGGATTGAAGGGGCCCCAGGACACACAAATTCGCCGGCCCAACGGGCCAGAGGCGTGCTAAGATCTCCGGAAACTGGTTGACAATATTCTACTTCGCGCGCGGGGCGGCCCCCTGGGGGTCTCCGGGCGAAAAATACCCCGGCAGGGTCCCGGCAGACTCGGGTCAAAGATGGTTTCCGGGGCAATTTTTCGACACCCCTCACGAGGATCGTGGCCTCCGAGGGGGGGGCCGCAATTGACTACCCCCCCTCCCGCCCCAAGAGGCCCCCAAGAGCCCCCCAAGAGGCCCTGGGGGCCCCCAAGACGCCGCCAAGGAGCCCCAAGAGACTCCCAAGAGGTCCCCAAGAGGCCCCCAAGAGGCCCTAGAGAGGGCTCCAGGGCCAGCGGAATGAGCGAAGCGATTAAATAAATACACACAAATAAAAAGATTCCCCATATCTTCTCATATTTTATGGGCTTTTGTCTTCCCCTCCACTTCCCATATTTTCCAATAGTTTCCTGGGAGTCGACGATTACTTCTGTCTGTGTGTTTTTTCCCCTCCTGAGGGATGCTGGTTAGACATGCTCGCCTGGACGCAGGACGTGTAGCATGCCATCTGGATGCGTCCCGAACGGCAGTGCTGGCGGCAGGCGGCAAGCAGATTCTGCGGCTGGGGGGGAGGGACACGCAGGGGTCGGAAGGGGAGGACAGGGAGGAGGAAGAGGAGCAGGAGGAGGAGGAAGAGGAGGAGGACGGCTGCCTTGCTTGACTTGCGATCCTCATGTCGCGTCGGACGCGGCGCCGTCACGGCCGGGGGGCGTCTTCGTTCATAGGACGATTAAAAATAACACGCGACGACGACGACGACGACGACGACGACGACGACGACGACGACGACGACGACGACGACGACGGCGGCGGCGACGGCGGCGGCGACGGCGACGGCGACGGCGGCGGCGAAAACGACGACGACGACGACGACGACGACGACGACGACGACGACGGTGAAGACAACGACGACGTCGACGACGTCGACGACGACGACGACGAGAGCGAGCCCACTCAACGCCGTCCGCGGCGACACCGCCGCCGAAAACCAACCGGACTGACAGCGAAACCGCAAGCCAACCAAAACGGACAAGCCGCACGCATCCAAGGGCGCGCGTCGCGGCAAAGCCACGGCAGCCTACCAGCGGCGCAGCCGAACCGACCGAGCAGCGGGTACCCATGCTCTTTGCGGCAACTCATGGGAGCCTCCCGTGCCATCCTGCTGGCTGTGCGGGCTCGACGCCGGTCGACGCTAAATCTACGCTGATCGACGCTAAATCGACGCGAGTCGACGCTAAATCGACGCTTTTCCTTCGATGAGCATACGCTAACGCACGCTAGTCCACGGAGAAGACGGCATTCCGAGGACGTACACGGCTCCCACGCCTTGCTACTGGACGATCCCACCGATCCCCCGCACGCGGGGCCAAACACCGCGGCGCCTGGGGCGCGACCGCAACCCCCCCGGCGGCCCGCCCCGCGCACCCGTGCAGGGCCGCTCGGGGCTGAAGCGCCGCCGAGCGCGGCGACGCCGCCGCCAGCGGGACTTCCTCGGTGGATGCGAGGGGGGGGAGGAGGAGGAGGAGGAGGAGGAGGAGGAGGAGGAGGGGGAAGTGGACTGGGCCGGATGAGGGGGAGGGAGAGGGGGGTGGGGAGGGGGGCGGGGAGGGAGAGGGAGATGGGGAAGGCGGGAAGGGTGCGGGCGGGGAAAACACCCAAGAGGGAACGAACGAGCAAACGACGCGCGGAGACGTCCCGCCGGGGCGGACCGGGCCATTCCCGGCCTGCGCAGGAGGCCGCAGCCTCAGAGGTCCTTCTGGCACTCCTGCTGGAAAAAGTACGTCGACTGGAACAGATACTCCAGATTTCGTAATAAAGGGAGGAGGGTCTCATTTCGGGGGGGGGTCTCTTCCAGGCTATCTTGGAGGGCCTGGGGGGGTCTGGGGACGATGCTTTGGAGGGTTCTCCCACGAGGGGGGGTTTGAACTGGCTTGTCTTGGAGGGTCCAGACCCCCTCCCTTTTATTACGAAGTCTGGAGTAGATGATGTGGGCGAAATTGTGCACGAGCCAGCGCAGGTAGAAGACAAGGAAGATGGGGTTCAGGATTGTGCTTGTGGTCGGCGTTGCCTACTGGTGGACAGTGCTGGTGGTCGGTTATTTTGTGTTGTGGTCGGCGTCAGCGTGAATTATCAATGTCACGTGCTGGCGGTCAGTGTTGCTCCGTGGTGGTCGATGCTGGTGGTCGGTGGTGGTCGGTGGCGGTTGCTGCTGGTGTTGCTGCTGGTCGGTGGTGGGCGTCGAGGGTCGGAACTGAGTCGGTGTTGTCTGCAGGTGTTTTGTTGCTGCTGTTGGTGGGTGGTCAATGCATTGTACTGGTGTTGCTGGTGACGCTGTTTGGTTTCGTTGCTGCTGCTCCTGCTGGTTTCAAGCTTGCACAGTCAAATGGTGTACGCAAGGAAACCGCTCTCAAGTAAGCCCCACCACATCGTGTCCGTCGCGGCTGTCTACCATCGTGCGTCGTTGCTGTCGTAGTGGAGATACTGCGTTGCTCTGTGTAGTTCTGTCATTGGCGGTCTAGTGTTAACATTGAAAGAACTGTCAAACGTCGTCGTCCCACCGCATCTGCTTGCCACCACGTTGCCGATGACCCTGCTGTTCCGCGTCGAGAAAAGGGTCCCAATTAAATTCTCGCTGCGTCCATCGGTTCGATGGGTGCTGCGCTACGCGCGCGGCCCAGCGCTAGACACTTTTTCGGTGTATCTGCTCCACGTCAGGGATGTCGTGTATGCTTATTCGCTGCTCGGCTCTGCGCATGCTCCGGCGGATGACCGCGGACCACAGTTCGTTGTCGTCCGTCGCCTGCGCGCGGGCGTGACGGGGGCCATCGCTAGTGTCTTCACGCCGAATGAACCGCCCTGACGGGGTAAGAGGGTTACTGGATGCATCGTGGACGCTGGAGTCGTCGAGATGGTCGCTGCAGGGGTCGCGGTCGATATGGTTGCCCGTGGACGGGGTGGGATACATTGACGCGAGGGCGTTCGTGCGCCCTCTCGGTTTTCCCATGATCGCTCTGACCATCCGTCGCTGTGTGCAGCGTAGCAGCTGTCTGCGAGGCCCCGTTCAAGCCCATGTCTCTGCGCCGTACATCAGTGTGGATATGACGGTGCCACGGTAGAGCCCCAGCCTATGCTTGAGTGGGTAGCGTTTGCTCGTCAACTCTTGTCTGCGCCCTGTGAAGCATGCCCACGCAGCTTGCATGCGATGTTGGATCTATGTTGCCGAAGCGTCTTGAAACGTGATCAGTTGGCCGAGGTGCGTCAGCTTGCCAGTGCCCAGGACAAATTCGACGTCAATGTTTGCAACCGTGGCCTCGCGCGTTCGAAATCCTTCGCTGGTTTGTCACGATATTCGTCTTAGTCGGGTGCATTTCGAGGCCGTGGGGTTTTGCTGGTGTGATCAGGCTAGTGATTAGCGTCTTCAGATTGGGCAGTGTCTGGCTCACCAGTAACATGTGGTCGGCGAAGCGGAAGTACGTGAGAGTAGATTCGTCGACGCATGACAAATGGACTCCTCGTCGTCGTCGCTGCCATTCTGGGATTAGTAGCTCGAGTACGCGTTGCAATAGAGCGTTGAGCAGCAAAGAGCTGAATGAGTCCCCCTGTTTCGTGCCGCGTCGGAGCTTGAAGGGCCTGCTGGTGGAATCGGTGCGGACGACGGACTTCTGGCCGCGATACAGCGTCGGAGTAGGTGGACGCATTCAAGTACAACTCCCTGTCGACGCAGTGCTGCCCATAAGCTGCCGCGCGTTTCTGTATCAAACGCTTTTTGCAATCTACGGCGGCGACCCACACGAGCTTGGTTCCATTCGGAGGCCCGTTCCCGCATGATGTCAAAAGTAAAAAAGATGGTCGGTCGTGCCGCGCCCAGGTCTGAAGCCCGCTTGATTGTCGGGTTGGTGCTGCTCGAGTATTTGGGAAAATCTGATGTATAGAAGACGACTGAATAGCTTGACTTGCATGGATATCGCACATATCTGGCGGCAGTTTTGTGGAAGCGTCAGCTCACCCGATTCGGGAATGATTGTGCTCACCGTTTTCCGCCAACAAGTCTCGTTGAGTAGAACTGCATCCCCATGCGCATTACGCAAATCATCCAACAACTCTTCAACCAAGTCGTTTGTCTGCAAGGATCTCGCGTTTTTGTGAACGACTGTGAAAAATCGATGCTGGTACCGTGGCTGGTTGTCCCGACGGCGTCGCCAGTCAGGCCGCTGGTTTGTCCACTCTGGGAGGGGGTGACCCGAGGAAGGCGCTGGGCAGGGCAGGAGTAAAAGCCGTCGCCTGCGGTGGCGCGTTCTGCTTGCTTGTCCCCCGCAAGAGCTGCGACGGGGCGGTCGGAGTCTCGAGGATGCGACGGGGAAGTCGCTTGCTGCTTCGCTGTACAGTCGGGGCGTTGACCTAAGGAACCCTAAATAAGGAACGAGGCCCCTTTTTTCCATAAGTTGAACTCCGATGTCGTGTCGAAAACCTAAGGAAAATCCAAGGCAAGCTGCGGAACACTTGGGGAACACGGAGCCCTCCCCAACGAAAAGGGTTCCTTCTTCAGGGCCCCGACTGTACGTTCCTCCTCCCACTCCAGTGTTCAGGTTGGTTGGTGCTGCTGGTTGGTGGTGGTCGTTCTGGCTCTCTGCGGACGTTGCTGATTCGGGAGCGGGCCAAGAGGGGGGTGTCCAAGAGGGGGGGGTGTAAATCATGACCGGCGGCACGTGCGCGGCCCAGCGGGGGGGCCTGGGGCGTAATGAAATAAGAAGAGGCGCCAAGAAATCTGCGGAAATATCATGGCCCGCGCCAGGATATCCACACCCCCCTAGTCATCACCCCCCTCTTTTCCGCCGCCGACTGATTGTGAACCGTGCAGGTCGCTGCTAGCCGGGTTTAGTCTATCTGGTGATTGGGGTTGGTGGTCGGTGATTGTGCAGGTTGTTTGGTCACTGCTTGAAGCTGGTTCTCTGTGGAGGTCGCTGTGGGTCAGTGTTGGTCGGTGGTCGTTTGGTGATCGGCGTTGGTGGTCGGTGGTCGGATTTGTTGGTTGGTCGCTCGTCGACGGTTGTGTTCTGTAAAGGTCGCCTGTGATGGTCTGTGGCGGTCGCTACTGGTCGATGCTGCTTGTGGGTGGTCGGTCTGGCGGTCGGTGTCTTGGCTGGTCGACTGGCCCCTGGTCAGTATTGATGGTCTGTGCAGATCGTTGGTGGTCAGTGTTTGCGTACTCTGCTCGTTCTACACCCGAGCTGTGGCACGGTGGTCAAAATCGCAAGGATGTGAAGGTGATGTCGCTTGCTGCTTCACTGTACTTTCGTTGTCCTCCTCCTCCTGTGGGTGTTGGAAGTGGGATGTGGAGGTCGGTGTTTGGGTTGGTTGGTGATGCTGGTCGGTTGTCGGTTTGGCTGTTCGTGGGCATCGCCGCTGATGGTCCGTGGAGGCACTTGTTGTTCACTTTTGGTCGCAGTCGAGACTGCTAGTCGTTGGTTGGGCTGGTCGCCTGGTCGTTGATCGGCGCCGGCGGTCTGCCGAGGCTCCTTTTGATCACGGCTAGTTGGTCTGGTGGTCGGTGGATTGCAACAAAAAAAAAAACAAGACGGATTGCAAAAAAAAACCCAAGAAGGATTGCAAAAAAACCCAAGAAGGGTTTTTTGCAATCCTTCGATCCTGGGTTTTTTGCAATCCTTTGTTTGCATTTTTTTTTTTGCAATCCTTTGGTGGTCGGCGAATGGGTTGGTCGGCTGGTCGCTGGTCGGCGCCGGTTGTCTGTTGAGGTCGCTGCTGGTAGTCCGCGGTGGTCGCTGCTGGTTGGTGCTGCTGAAGGTCGGTGGTCGATCTGATGGTCTGTATTCGGGCTGGCTCGTTGGTCTCTGGTCGGTGTGAGTCTGTGGAGGCCGCTGCTGATCGGTGCGGGTGTGCTGGCTGGTGCAAGTCTTCAGAGCCATCCTTCACGAACATGGCCACTCTGTGGTCGGAGAGGAAAGCCTTCCTGCGAAAGAGTCGGGGAGGACGAGGAGGCGGACTCGAGAGGAGGAAAAGGAGGACGAGGAGCACTAAGAAGGAGGAGGAGGACTAAGGAGGAGGACTAAAAAAGAGGGAGGAGGAGGAGGAGGAGGAGGACCATGAACGAGAAAGGCCAGAGAGTAACAGGAGCAGGAGAAGCAGGAGGATACGGACGACGAGGAGGAGGAGGGGAGAGCAAGGGGAGGAGGGTAGAAGAGGGAGAAGAGGGAGAGGGAGGAGGCGGAGGAGAGGGAGGAGGAGGCACCCCGTCAACCCAAACGGGGATCCAGCTAGAAGAGGGTGGTGCTTTCGGAATTGGATCTGAAACGCTCCGGTCACGCACTGCGGTGATGCGTGCCACAAATTCGCCGGCCCAGCGTGCGAAAATCTCCGGCGAGGAGGAGGAGGAGGAGGAGGAGGAGGAGGAGGAGGAGGAGGAGGAGGAGGAGGAGGAGGAGGAGGAGGAAGAGGAGGAGGAGGACGAGGACCCCCGCACGCGCGCGTGGCAGCACCCAGGGGTCCCCGGACGAGCAGTACCCCGGCAGGGGCCCGGCAGGGTCCCGACAGAGATGCCCGAGCTCCCGGGCGCGGCCTCGGGGGCCCCCCGAGCGCCCCATGAGGCGCCCACAGGGTGGCACGCACGGCCCACGGCCTCAGGCCAAGAGCGCTCCAAGAGGGCCCACGTTGGTCTCCCAAGACGGCCCAGGAAGCGCCCAAGACGCCCCAGGAGGGCTCCAAGAGAGAGCTTGGAGAGGCCCCGAAGACGCAAAAATAATCATTAATGCTGCTGCTCAGATGTCGGACGAGTTTGGCAGGGCTGCCGACCGCCCTGCACGGCCCACGAGGCCCCAAGATCGCTCCAAGACGGCCCAAAAAGCCTCCAAGGGGGCCCCAAATGGCCCAAGATGGCCCTAAGACGGCCCAAGAGGTCTCCAAGATGGCCCCAGGATGGCCCCAGGATGGCCCCAAGAGGGGGCCCAGAGGGGGAGTCCGAACAGACATGTCGAGCTCTCGGCCCCAAGAGGCTCCCAAGAGCCCCCCAAGAGGCCACAAGAGGCCACAAAAAAGGACCCAAAAGAGGCCCCCAAGACTCCCAACAGGCCCTCAGGGAGATCCAAGAGAGGCCCCTAAGAAGCCCCCCAAAGAGGCTCCCCAGAGGCCTCCAAACTGCTCCCCAAAGGCTCCCTCCGAAAAGAACCTACGAAGGATATGTGAGACCTTTGACCCACAACCCAGGTACGTCTTGAAACTCTGCTGGCGCTCTCTTGAGTCATCTTCGCGCCAACTTGGGCAGTCCATCGGCTCTCGTCGACCGGGTGCAAGCCACATCTCCAGATCTCCTCGAAGACCGTCCTGCCTGCCCTACCTTTCCTCTCTGGGCACGAGCACACCACCACGCAGCCACATCGATAGTTCTCGCCGAGAAACACTGCACACGCCCGAGCGATGGCAAGGTTTTTGACTTATGGCCACTCAATGGCGCGTAGAGCCACCCGCCGCAATGCGCAGAATGATCCATGTTACACGGTGCGGGCCAAGAGAACTATACCGCTGGAGCCTTTGCACTCTACGCATCCCTCGGGGGGGCGGCCCGCGCGCCATGTTGTCCGTTGGCATCGGCTCTCAGCCAGGTAGCGCGATGGGGCTGCGCCGCGTGGACGGCTTTGAATTAGAACCCATTCCATAGAATCCGTCTCCCACGCCCACCCCCACGCCCACCCCGACCCTCGACCCCCGGCGAAATGAGCGAAGCGACGAAATCAGTCCCACCGTCCCACCCCGAAGTTTGATTGCCGAGATCTCGAGTCTTCGTGCGAGTTCGAGGTACCAAGGCCCGCCAATTCGTTGCGGGGGAGCCTCCGACCCCGTCGTCGGAATCGGAAAGCGCTCTCGAGCACCCCACGACCCCTGCTCGCAGGCTCTCTAGGCAATCAGGTCGGATGTGGTCGGTCACGCCGCTAAGGCCAGCGCAGCAGTGCAACGCAAGCCGCCAGCTGCAACACATTGCAAGTACAACCGGGGTGCTGCAACAGAAGTGCGTGCAACATGATCCAGCTTGCACATGTTTTGCTGTATTATCGCATGCAGAGCGATTGTCGCACCACAATGTACAGCATCCCCTGGTGCAATACTTTTGCGATACAACGTACGGACTGGCGTGCCAACTCTTGATGCGACTACTGACGCAGATGAACGGCCGAGGTCGTCGAAAACAATTTGAGGCGCGTGTCAGCCGTCTGCGACTTGTGCTTGCACGTCCTTGGGCCGCTTGAGGGAATGCGTTGCAACGAACGGCGGGAGGGCGCCATCACCTCTGTGGGGGCCAGTCAGATACCCCAGTGGAAGTCAGGTTTGGGCCACAGCCCTTAGGTCGGACATGTCCTCCTACAGGCAGATTTTGGCGAAATATTCAAAATTGTCCAGACATATTCAGAAATAATCAATAATAGCCCAAAAATCGTCCCCTGACTATTTTTGGCGATTCTTGAATATTACCCCTGTAGAGGGACATGCCCGACTGAATACAACCCCCGTCTTGCATGGACCCCCGACGCGTGGCGAGCAGGCCATCAGAGCCCGAGTCGTGAGGGTTGTCGCCCGGATCGCGGGGGTCAGAACGGGAATCGTGAAGATCAGAGGAGTCGGAACGAGGAGTACTCAGGAGGGGAAAAAACACACAGACACAATTAATCGTCGATCCCGAGGAAAATATGGGAAAATATGGGAAGTGTGGGGAAAGACAAAAACCCAGAAAATCTAGGAAAATATAGGGAATATTTTCATTTGTGTGTATTTATTTGTGTGTCCCAGGGGCCCCTTCAAGTACGGAAGAAGACAGAGGAGCCGATTGCAGGCGCAGAGGAAAGCATCGCGGGCCGCCGAGGGTGCCCCTGGCGCAGGGGGCACCCCCGCTTTTCGCTCCCTTTTTGAAGCCACGGGTGCCCCATTGGGCCTCGTGAGGGCTGCTCGGGTGGCCGTGGGGGCCTCCTGTAGGAAGGCACCAACTATACACCAACACCGATCCTGGGCCAGGATCGGTGTTGGTGTATAGTTGGTGCCCTCCGATCCTTGCACATCCTGGGGGCAACTGTCGGGGGCGTCCAAGGCGTCCAAGACGGGGAGGCGCAAGTCATGGCCTGCGGCACGCACGCGGCCCGAGGGAGGGGGGGGGGGGCAGGGCACTGGCCGCGACATCCACACCCCCTCGAGCCATCGCCCCCCTCTTGGCCGCCCCCGAACCTTTGGGCCAGGGGCGCTTCTAGCACAACCCTCAGACATCCGGCTGCTCCACTGTTTGTTGGTGCGCGGACCCCGGAGGTCCGGGCCACTTCTCCAGGGCCGGCCTCTCGTCCTGAGCCGTTCCTCTTGCCGCTCCCGAGGCCCGGCGAGGGCCCCAGATGTTAGGGAACCCACAAAGGACGTACGCGCCCAGCTATGCACATGAACACGGCCCCTCGATCTGCGAGACGGGCCGCGTGATTCGAACTTTCGGGAAATGCCTACCCTCGAAACCGGCGTGGATGCACGTACGTGTTACGTCCTTCTTTCGCTCCCGAGATGCCGAACACGGCCAAACACCGCCTGCTCCACTCCGTTGGGGGCGCCGGCTCTCAGGGCCCGAAGGGAGGGCGGAGAGGACGCGGGGGGGCGGCGGGTCCAGGACTGCCGGCGGCGGTGCCCTCGGCGAGGCCGCCGCCCGCGCACGGCCCCGCCATGGCGGGCGCGCGGGGGGGGCGGCCGCCGCGCCGCCGCGGGCTCGGCCGCCGGGGCGCGCGCGGCCGTCGGCCGCCGCGCCCCTGGGAAGTCGGGGCGGCGGGGCTCGTGGCTCGTGCCCGGGCGCCCTCGGCGGGTAAAACAGGGCCAGGATCGGGATGAATCGCTCCAGAGCGTTCCGGAGCGCGCTCAGAGCGTTCCGGAACGCTCTGGAGCGGCCGCCGCGCCCAATACATCCTCCAAACCCGCCGATTCTCAGAGATTTCGAGTTATCCTTATCCGATGTTGTCCCGATCTTCGCGTCGTTTGAGCTGGGCTTCGGGTCGGGAGCCCCCGCCGGTGGGGTCAGAGCCCCGCGCCGCGGGGCCGATGCCTCGCCGATAGGCCTCGGCGGTGCCTCGGCGACGCCTCGGCGACGCCTCGGCGACGCCTCGGCGTGGAGAGAGCCCCCGACCCCATGCACTCAGACCCCTATCTGGGAGGCGCAGGAGGTCCCCCCCTTGGGGAGCCCTTGCCGGGCCGAGCCTGCTCGGGAGGTGCCCGCAGGCAGGCGGGGCCCGAGCTCCCGTCGGCGGCGGCCCCGCCATGCTGCGCTGTTCCGCGGCGTCGGGTCCCGGGGCCCGGGCATGCCGCCCTCGGGTGCCCGTGGGGGCCCCGGCGGTCCAGGCTCCCGGGGTTCCCTGCGTGCTGAAGGCCACCGCTTGCTTGGGGAGCACAGGATGGCAGATCGGGCGGAGAGATTGCGAGCGCTCGGAAAGAGAGAGAGAGAGAAACAACAACAAAAAAAAGGATAGAGAAACGTGAAAGATGGGGACGCGTCGAAACGCTCAACACTTGCAGTGCTCAATGTAACGCTGGTGATGTGCTGTGCCAGAGAGTGTGTCCTGCGGTGCTGTGATGGATTGACATGTGCCATGCCCCGTGAAGCCGCGCTGTGCTTACATTGCGTTGTGGACCAGGTCGTGTATGGCATCAGCATCCTCACCGAACAGATCTGAACATCAAGTTCGAACTGCCTGGACGCATGGCGCGAGATGGTCACAATCGAACCGCGCAGGGAGCTCGACCAGCTCGAGCTCGAGATCCGATTCGGTTCCGCAACGGGCCAAACCACGCGAGACGCACCGAACCGAAACCGACGTAAGGGGGCGGCTCCGAACCGACGCGAAACGCACCGAGAGTAAACGGACCGAAGCTCGGCGAACCAAAACGCCACGAACTGCATCAAGACGAACCGACCGAAACGATACGAACAAAGACGAAGGCCGAACCGACCCGAATCGGAGCGAGACCAGACAAACCAAGATGAATACGTGTAGGCTCACCATCCTGAAAGTGCATGGCGTCGCCTGACGAGCGAGCCGCACTCCGAGGTCCCAAAGCCCCGCGTAAATAACCAGCGCCGCGATTTAACGTTAAGTGCTATTGCTACAGTCGGACTCGATTGGGCAGGACACGCGAGATGACACAAGACCCTTTTCCGAGGGCCACATTGCCACAGGAATGCAGGAAGCATGGGTCGCGATACGAATTTGGCGGGGTCGACATACTAATCTGGGCCAACTGTACGTGCTATGTTGCTGCTTTGCGTAATGCTGTGTTGAACTGTGATGTTATGTGTTGCGTCGTGGATCAAACCACGATTGTCACCCCACTCCAATCCGACATGAATCTGATTCTAAGATCAACCTGCCTACGCGCATGGTTCGACAAAATTGGTCGCATTCGTAACATGCGGGGCGTTCAACCAGCTCGAACTGGAGATCCGTTTCAGTTCCGAAGCGGGACGAACCAATCGAAGGCGAATCCGAACCGAAACGAAACGCACCGAGACGACGACAAGGCCCCCGCACGACACCTCCTCAAACAACGCAAGACCAACATTTCGCAAGAGGCATCCGCAACAAATCTTGCAGAGGGAAGCTTTCGCTGCAGGCGAGGCCCTCGCTCGAGACATCCTCAACAAATCCTGCAGTAAGAGCGTTTCGCTTTACACATCCCCAGCACCTTTTCATGCTAATTAGTGAGTGGCATGGGCGACCCAGACACGTGAATACCAAAGGTTCGCTCGAGACATCCTCAACGCGTCCTCGCGTTGGAGGTCCGCCTGGGCGACCTGGAACAAGCGTGAAAGGACGTGGCCCACTTTCGACCCAGAGCGGAGCAAGCGTGAAAACACGTTGGCCCCTTTCGCCGCAGAGCGAGCAAGCGTGAAAGCACGTGGGTCCCTTCCGCGCCAAAACGGAACCAACGTGAAAGCACGCGGGCCACTGTCGCCCCAGAGCTGAACAAGCGCGAAAAGGTTTTACGTCGCAGCGCGGCAGAGGCAATCCGCGCGCGCGCCTGCGCGAGACCAGGACGCGGCGCCCTAAATTAGCCCGCGCGCAAGAGAGGGGGGAGGGGCGAGGGGGCGGCCGCAGACGGGGGGGGCAAGGCGCGGGGGCGCACTCACGCAGCGAGGCTGCAGCGGTTGCGCGGGCGCGGCCTGGCTGGGGGGGCACCCCCGGCAGCAGCTACGGGCCGGCGTCGACGCGCGCCCGTGGGAGGGGGCCAGCAGCCATAGCGCGGGCAAGGCCCGGCAAGTCGAAGAGCGGGAACAGACGGCGGCTGGATGACCAGGACCAGGGCGCCAGCGCGAGGGGGGCAGCGCCGCGTGGGCCGCCGGCGGCAAGGGGGGGCGCGCAAGCGCTGTGGCGGCTGCGAGGAGCCCCTGACGGCGGATGGCAGAGCGGCCTCGGCGCGGGAATGGCCTGCTTGGGCGACCCGTCACAGAGCACGGGAAGGAGGCAGGCGGCGGAGAAGTAAGGGCGCCACTCCGTAGCCGGCACACGGCATCAAGGCACGGAGGCAAGCGTCGCCCAGTGAAAGTGGCGCACGGGCGGCGCCCCGAAGGGGGGAAAGGACGACCCCCCGCAGGCCGCCAGTGGGTGGCGAAGGGCAGAGTGGGAGGCAAGCCGCAATAGCCTTGGCCCCCAAGCGGGGCAGCGAGACCGCGGAGAGGGGCCAGACCATCTGCGCGCCCAGGTTGCAAGGCGCTGGCATGCACCGGCGGGCGCGTCGCTCGCTGGGCGAGAGGTGCGCAGGGAGGGGGCGCGCAAGCCCGGGGCCGGCGCACAGCATCACGATCTGAGACCAGCGGGATGGGCTGGGCCGCTACGCGAAGCCGACTGGGGGAAGGAGAGCCGCAACTGCGTCAAAGCGGGAGGTGAGTCGCGACGGCAGAAACCCAAGTAGGGCAGAAACCCCCAGACTACAAGCTGCAAGCAGCAGCACCGGCAGGGGCGACCCAGCGCGCGTCTCGGTTCGCGAGGGGCGGTGCCAGTGACGAATTCGACCTCCTATCCTGGCCCCAGACGATCCCAATCTCGACAGGTATCCTGCCAGATAGCGGCCACGATAAGATTGAAGGCGAGGGGTCCCTCAGGACCGCGGGTGCGCATACACTTATCCCACTCCACTCCTTGCACCTCAAGACCATCATAGTATATCGTCCCGATACTGTCACACAGGGGGCAAGAAATGCATGCTGGAGATATGCGGGTACAGCGGCATGATCAGTACCACGACGCACGTTAGACACAGCACAGTGATCGAAGGCCTGAAGGACATGGGCGCTAGCCATGTGCGCAGTCTCCCCGCGACCCCAAGTCGATGCGCGCTGTCCAATGTGCTTGATACTTGCAGAAATTTCACGTGTGACTGAAAACCGTAAATACCACGAGGGAGAAACAAACCTGTTTGCCAACATGCCGTTCACTATGAAAAAACTGTGCGGCATCAACGTGCGATGGCATTGCGCATGCATAACATATGACCGTCTTTCAAGTTAGTTAGCCGAGAAATGTTTTGGCATGAACGAGATGGAGATGGCCCTCCAACATGAAGGATATGGCGATGATAAGCTGACGTTTTACCGAACAAATACCGAACGTCTGCGAACAACCGACCACCGCAGTAACTTCAGCACCTCGCACCGCACACGGTCTGGCCCCGTTGCTCGGCGAGATCTCAAACGTGCACGAGTCCTGGCCATCAACCCCATGGTGGTCCATGCCAGTGATATTCGAGTCGCAGGTCTCCTCCTCCGCCCTCCTCTTGAGATCCTGCAACATCCCGCGGTTGTCCTCCCACACCTCCTTCGAAGATAACTTACTCCTCCAAGACTTGTCGACCTCCTCCTTCCACTCCTCCCTGTCCTCCGCCTCCCTGTCCTGTACCACGAGATGTTTGATGCGATGGCGGAGCTTGCGCCTGGTCGGCGAACACTCCCATTCAACGCAGTATGTTCTGCATTGTCGTCCGTAGACGTTCGCCTCACTTCTGAGTTTCTGCCTCTCGGGTCCTCTGGGGAGTTCTCGAAGACATTTCCAGAGCCTGGTGAGTTCTAGAGGTCTGACGGGGGGTCGAGGTCTACCACGCTGAGACGTAGTGAAATCCACGTCGGGCGCTGAAACATAGGACACGATAAGCTTCGACGACAAGCACGACGGATCGAGCTCGGGCGAACGCGCACACCCGAGAACACGGCATCGCCCAAAGAACAGTCCGCACGCCGACGCGCGTTCATCTCATCCGCCCAAGATACACAGCGGTACCCCACAAGAAAAGCCGGCGGCGCCTCATGCCGCGCGTCAGCCCTGCGCACAATAACCCTACCAGGGGATACGAATTGATCTGCGTGGTCACTGAGACGATTCCAGTTCTTCCGCCCTCCTCTGGCATCACACTCTCCGTGCACTCGCAACGGTACGGAACAAAGATATAATCCAAGACAACCTTGAGATGACCGAAGCGTCTATCTTCTTCCACGCTTCCCACGTAGGGCACCTAGTACTAGAGAGAGTGTTGGCAGCCTTGACACGCCGCTGCATGAAGCCCAAGACCATGCTGATCATCCTCCTCCTCCCGTCGTTCCTCCCCCTCTTCTTTGCACCGTCAGCATGCCCCCTCATAGTCCCCATCACTCACTCCTGTCGCCAAGAACGATACGCCTTGCAGCATGAGCTCACAAGACGGTGGCAACT